ATTTCCAACTCTGTCAAGTGAAAACAAAGCCTACATTGCTACACAACTGAACTTCAAAAAAGATGATCCTTCTGGAAAATCAGAAATGTTATATAATTGATCAACTCAATTTATTATAACTATTAGTCTTCAAGGACAGCCCGGTTATCTCTACACGGTACAGCCTCGCACAAGATACTCAGGATGACTGTATCTTGAAGTAATACATGTTGAATTCATCTGGAGTACCTCAAACATTCTTGTGTTGGTTTGCCATCACATACAGATTTCTTAATCTCCTGCATGAGTTCATGTCCACAGAATAAGCAAAGTTCACTGTCAGCCTCTTTATCCAAGCCACAATAGCAGTAATGTTGGGGATCCTTACTAATGCGAGTAGGAATAAGAGTGTCATGTGACTGATGATAGGCTAAAAGTGAGGGTTGCTTGACAGGAAGCCATAACTTGCTAATGTGGTCATGTCTAAAAACCTGATACCAACGTTGTTTGTACTGGCTGTTTCTGGCAAAGCTAGCGATTTGCACATGTTTAGCTTCCCTGCCCTGCATTGTGTTGATACCCAACCCTGTACCATACTTGTCAAACATTAGCTTAGAGTGAGCATAGACTAAATGTCCAATACTCCATACAGTGCCTGATACTGAAGAACCAAACAAAGCAGCTGCAGTGAAATAATCATGGCACAACTGAGAAAGGTTTGCAAGATCTTGTTCAGTGAGATGGTACATTGAAAAAATTGCAGCACAATCCCTGAGCTTAGTACCGATAAAGACAATTTTCAAAAGTTTCAGTAGAAGTTCTGGGTCTGTTGAGTCACCCTGAATTGCTTTGACTAAATACATGAACCCATGTAAGATTAACCGTGAATCTTTACCAGTTAAGCGATAAGTGAAATCCTTATCTTTACCCCTGTCTTCAAGAAGCCACTTGCCTAATTGTTTTCTCATTCTCCCTGCTTTGACATCACTTTCCATAGCCTTCATATATCTGAAAATTGCACTGTTTTGGGGGAGTTCACTAAGGCTGTTTAATTTATTGGGAAGGTTACTGAAAGAAATGGCAACGTCAAGCAGCATTGTATGTAAATACTGCACCCCATTGTTCCTCAAGTGGAGTGGTTCAACAACCTCTTTGTCACAGAGCTTCCCAATAAAGGGTTGAAATTCTTGCCTGGATTTTTTCCCAGCAATAAATTGTGTGATTTTACTCCTTAATGTTTTCTTAGCTAAATGAGTGGGGAGTTTTCTTTTGAATTCAACAACCTGCTTTGAAGTAGTAATTCTTTCGCGATACTGCCAGGGTCTCCACTTACAATCCTGATCTACTCCAAATCTGCCAGTAAGGGAATTACTTTCATTTTGAGAAACATTAGCAAAACTGGAAAAATACTTTGCTGAATTAGATAATTCCCCATTGATAAAGGCCAGGAATTTCATATCCCCTGGAATAAGGTCAAATGTAAAGGTAACATCCTTCCCCATTACTGTGTAGGTTTTTTTCTCAATTACCTCGATGTCCGCTGCTAACTTTTCTGTGAATCTAACAACCACCTCATGATCCTCCTTACAGTTGGCACCGAACAACAGGAAATTGTCATTGGGAGAGGCCACCCTCGGTCCCACATTTAAAAAACTAATTAACCAGGACATTGATTGGTCCCACTTTCCAAATGGAGCTCCATCACCCCCAATGGCAACCTTGAATGTTCCCTCCCTCTCACCAAACCAGGTCAGTTTGTCACTATCTTTCCTGTATTCATCAGTCACAAAATAGAATTTGCAGAGCATGAGTAGGAAACTCTCCAAGTTCCTATACACCCCATCAACTTCTTGGTCTACAGGTAAGTTATGACACAAAGTTTCTCTTAGTGAGATAACCTCTCCCATATCAAGTTCTTCAATTTTGTTCATTAGGACACTGTATGGAAGGGGTTTAGGAACTGGAATACCCCACCCATATGTAAGTCTTCTCTTTGACAGAAAACCCTTTTTGGTATGTCTCCCTGTATTTTTCATTACAAGAGATGACCTTGTCTGTTGATACTTAATTTTACTGATAACCCCACCTGCATAAAGCAGTGAAAGGGAACGGATGAAATTATCCTCACTTTTCTCATACTCTGCACAGTGCATTTTTATTTTGGCCACAGTGGCCTTTTTGACTTTTTGTGATGAGCAAACATACCTAGATATATCGGCAATCTTGCCATATTTACAAATAGTCGCGAACATGCCATCAAGTGCAGGAGCCCTGCTCTCTGGAGACCCTCCATTAATCTCTATTGCAGCAGTGAGAGTCTCTAACTGCCTTCTGCTGGCACTTCTTCTTGGTAAATCCAAAACTCCTTTACTGGTGAGTTGAGTAGGACTTCTCTTTCTCATGGTGGATGCATTCATAGTCACTTGAAATGTTGGTGTTCTCTGTAAAGGCACCAGGTCTGTTTCCAATTCTTCTATAGTCTTTAGTGCCTGCTCTTTCTTAAGGTTAAGAAAAAAGCAAAATTATCATTATTATCATTACTGTTATTATCATGATAAAAATTTTTATCAGTAAAGGAACAAAAAAGCTGAAGTGTCGGAACATTAAGGATTAATCATTTAACCATTTTTTAACTGAACGGCCATTAATAATCTCGAGTTAGCTGAAAACAGATTGAAATGCTTAGTTTTACAAGCTCTATAAACCATGGCACGAAAAATCACAATTAAGACTACCTCATCGCTTTCTGTACACCACAAATAATACCAAGACTTACTTTCTTTTTTAGTCGCTGAATTCGTTTCTGTAGGGCAGAAATCTCTTTGGACTTCGACAAATATTCCTCTCTAAGAGTAGCTCTCCTTCTGGCCAGTTCCCCGACGGGAAAGCGATCACACTGTGAACCGTTCGATGAACGTCTTGGCTTCTTCCTGCTCTTGCTTCCCATTGAGTGTTCCGGGAGAGTCGAAACACAGGTAGACAAAAGCTGACCTTGCTCAAAATCTACGGCCTCCGGTAACAAACCGAAACGATAGAAACACAGTTCAGATCATATTCTTTTATTTTGGCTAGAGAGAACAATAACACAAAGTCTCTCTCTCTCTGAAAATTTGCTTCAAAAAACCTTTAATTCGGTTTATGGTGTTACAATCCTTTAACGAAGGAAAACACAAGTTTTAAAAGCGAGAAATATGAATGAAAAACAATAGTAACCAAGGCAAGCTGTATATCAAAATAGAGCTTGCAGATCGAAGAATTTCGTTCTTTAGCGCCAAAATCCATTTTCGGTACCAGTCTCAAGAAAATGGAACAAATCTTACCATGCTTATACCCCCTTGGTCGCATTACGAAAGGCCGAGTAATTGTTTCTCTTGGAGGACTGGACACTATGGACAGATCAGTGGCCCAAATCAGATCAAAAATTGCCCGGCGTGA